AAAAGACAAACCGAGAATAAATATCTCAGTTTATTTCTTTGCTTAACTTTTATTTATTTGTAAGTGCACATTACTAACAACTGTTGTTACCTTTCTTTTTCTTTGGCTTGGTTTCTTATTTATTGGGTTACATATCTTTTTGCAGTTAATTACATTTTTTTCTTTATCCACTTGTTTCTTTCATTTTTGTCTTATTTCTCAAGTTTAAAAAAATAAAAATAAAATGCCAATGTATATGGATGTAACCGTAGTATTATAAATTAAATTTTCATTTTTATTTGAGATATGTCTGAATTAGATATTAAAAAATTCGATGTATGTGTTGTCGGCAGTTGTAATGTTGATTTAGTCAGGTAAAATTTAACTCCTTCAATATATAAAAGCTGAATTTCTCTATAAAGCTATGTTGATCGAACACCTAAAATTGGTGAAACAATTGAAGGAAATAAATTTGAAAAAGGTTTTGGTGGTAAAGGAGCTAATCAATGTGTACAAGCTGCTAAATTAGGTGGAAAAGTAGCCATGATTGGCAAAGTAAAACAATCATGATATCAATAAGTAAAAAATAAATATTTCATTTTTTTGTTATTTCGCAGCTTGGTAATGACGTTTTCGGCAAAGAATATCTTGATAATCTGAAACAATTAGGAGTTAATACTGGTAAAAAAATATACTGCCAAAAAAACAAAAGACTTTCTCTTATTGTTTTATATATTTAAATAGATCATGTTAGTATGACAAATGAAGCAGCTACAGGTGTTGCTCCAATTATTGTTGATAAAGAAGGTTTATAACTTTTTTCATTTATTTTCATATATATTGATCTATTAGTTAATTAATTATATCTAGGACAAAATTCAATTATTGTTATACTTGGTGCTAATTTATTACTTAATGAAGATGATATAGAAAAAGCTGAAAATATTATTCGACAATCAAAAATTGTTGTTTGTCAACTTGAAATTCGACAAGAAACAGTGGCTAAAGTATTTGAAATTGCACGAAAATACGCAGGTAAATATAAATATTTAATGATTAATTTCAAATTTTGTTATTTATATAATAAAGTTTTAACAATTTTAAATCCTGCACCAATGTCTGTAAACTTCAATCGAGATTTATTAAAACTTGCGGATATTATTTGTCCAAATGAAACAGAAGTAATATTAAAAGGAATACATTTTTTTCAAAGATTTATTTTTCTTCATAGGCAGAAATTTTATGTGATATTAGTGTAGAAACAATTGATAATGCTAAAAAAGCATGTCAAAAATTACATGAATTAGGTTGTCGAAAAGTTATTATTACAATGGGTAGTCAAGGCGCTGTTATATTGAATGGCGAAGGTCAATGTGAACATGTTGAAATTGAAAAATGTTCTTCTGTATGTGATACTACAGGCGCAGGTGATTCATTTGTTGGCACTTTAGCATTATTAATGGCACGAGAAGAAAAGATGGCATTGAAAGAACAAGTTAAGCGTGCTTGTCGTGTTGCTAGTCAATCAGTAGAAAAAAAAGGTACACAAACAAGTTATCCAACAAAAGATGAACTTCGATTCAACTTATTCGAGTAACATTGGAATAATAATGAAAATGATTTTAAAAAAAAATTCGAGCTTGATTCTTTGCAATAAAATTAATGCTTCTTCATAAAATGAATCTATTTTTTTATTTGTTGATTTTTTTTTCATTAGTTCAAGCTTTATATGTCATAGGGTGCTAGTTGATTTATTCTTTTTTGGAATTACATTTAATCAAATTTGTTTTTTTTTAGAAATAAATTTAGAATTTCTATTCTTGGAGAGAATCAGTAGTTGAATGTTATTAGATGAAATTCTATTTGAGTATTCCATGTTATTAGAACCGGAAAAAAACCGACGGTATGCAGACGATAATTTCGTCTCTTACCGGTAGAAACATGGTATGAATCTACTGACCCGCTATCTTATGAATCTAAGAATAAATCTATATGACCGCATACAAAAAATTGAGCTTTTGGACTTTATCATTAGAAAATTATTTTTTTTGTTTCAACTTCGGTATTATTATTTCGTCTTAAGTGAAATATAACTCTTATTAAATTGTTTCTTCTCAGAAACAACCATATTTCACTCAAGACCAAAATGTAATACTGGAATTGAAACAGAAAAAATTATTTTCTAATGATAAAGTTTAAAAAAATAAATTTTTTGTATGCGATAATATAAATTCATTCTTAGATTCACAAGACAGTGGATCACAGATTTGATTATAAACAGTTGTGCTTTTTACTTCATTTTTCCGACTAAATAATGCTCAAAATAATCTAAATAAAAACTAAAATATTTTGTAATAAATAAATAAATACTTTCTTTTCCAGTTTTAAAATTGCTCTAAATAAAATAAAAAAAAATAATAATATTTTGCATGAATACGTACTTTTTCTTTTGGTACTAAGATTGTCGTAAATAAAACAATGATATAGTAATAATAATTCATACAATAAACACTTACTGTTTATTGTAATATTCACAATCATTTAAATCAAAAAGAACGTTATCATACATATATAGACAGAGATAGATAGATAGATAGTTTTACCGTAGTATACCGGCGTTAGTTCAATTAACTGTACGACATGGGTACTACAAATAATCGATGTTGAACCCACGCACAGAAAAGAATACATATGTCAGAGTTGACTTTAAAATGTAGAAAAGTGAAATTCTTATGCATTACTCAAAACTAAATAATTGTTAACTGATTAACAGTTTTGTATGTGGATGTAGGTAAACATGTATCGAAATTGAAGAGATATTCACAAATGTGAGGTTTATTCTCATGCAAGAATCTACGAGAATTTTTTTTTATCAACAACTCATGTTTGTCTCTTCTAGTTGTACGTACTAGTACACAGACTAATCACACTGAGAAGAGGGCCAAGTCTCGGCACATGCCTACCCACACTCATATACTTTGGTTAACTCGACATAGGAAGTTTTTAATTAGTTAAAAATTATTTTTTTCCGATTAGTTTATAATAATTTTACGCTTCCATATTTTATAATCAATTCCGATATGTATGCCGTTCGATTGTCTACATACAGTTTTATTGTGACTGAACTGCAATATTTTAGTAAAATGAACTTTGTGACAATGATTTTAATACAGAAATATATGTTGAATATATTTGATAGAATTTTTAATTTTTTCATGCTCTTATGTTGTTCTTTTATAAATAATTTTTATTAGAATTAAATCAAAGAAGATGAAAATATTCATCAAAACGTTATTCAATCTAAACGTAAATCTAATGCACAAAATTTCATTAATCTTTATTAGTACATATCATATATCCGCCTGGCTAAAAATAGTTGCACACAGTATTTTTAACAAATCATTACTATAAGTTAACTTTTTGAGAAAAATAATTATATATTCAGATAGCCCGAGGAATTCTCTACAACTCTATTTGTAAACATTTGAGTTGCACTTATCTGCTAAAAATAAATTCATGCACAATAAAGGCATTTTCGTTCACATTTTAAAGTTTATTTTGAATATAGAAACAAGTTATTATAAAAGTAAGTATATATTCTGAAAGCGCATGAAATTCTCTATTACCTTGTACTTCTATCAGTATTGGTTTGCAGATATTTGATGAAAAATACTTCGAGTATTTTTAATTTATCCTAATTGTGAGGCTTACACTCTCGATTACTTCACATGAACTGATACAGCATCCCATGAATGATGATCGAGTAGCCGAATAAGATGTATGGATAATTGTCCACTTGTTAGCTCTGATCTTAGTGTTACTACGAATGGTTGGTCTATGATGAAACATTTTGCACAGAAATATGGTCTAAATTTTCAACAATACCTTGCCGGCAACGTGATGTATTGATGCATTAACAATACTCGAAGTATTTATCATCAAATACCTGCAAGTCAAGATTGATAGAAGTACAAGGTAATAGAGAGTTTCATGCGCTTTCAAAATATGTACTTACTTTTATAATAACTTGTTCCTATATTCAAAATAAACTTAAAAATACGAACGAAAATGCCTTTATTGTGCATGAATTTATTTTTAGCAGATAAGTGCACTTCAAAATGTTTACAAATAGAGTTGTAGAGAATTCCGCAGGCTATCTGAATATATAATTATTTTTCTCAAAAAGTTAACTTATAGTAATGATTTGTTAAAAATACTGTGTACAACTATTTTTTGCCAGCCGGATATATAAGCCACATCATGCTGTGAAATTTACACAAGTCCTTTCGTAACGAAAACCTATGTATTTTTTATTTCATGTAATTGATAATGATACGAAAATTTGTTTTTTTTTATCATTAACCGTTATGACAATATATTGGTGCTTTCTATCTGACTCGTTATAAAGAAAATAATAAATCTTAATAAGATACAAGAGTAAGATATATATTATGGTATATATTAATAATAAAGTTTGAAATAACACTTGATATAGCAATTTTATCTATTATTTATTTTAATTAGTTTTTGTTGGAAAGTAATTCATAACAACTTTTACTACTCATGTATTTCATTAATAATATTTTCTTTCAGAGTTAGTTGATAAATTTAGAGAGAAAGAAGATTATCTATAAAAATTGTTTAGAACCCAATAGAGATTTGCACATCACGCAAAAAAGAGCAAACGATAATATTTTTTTCGTAGATTTGGGATTCATCACTTGGTTTCACTTCACATTTCTATTTCATTCTCATATGATCTGTTCCTCTTGTTGCTTGGCAACAGTCTCTACAAGTACGACATCTGAAGCCATATTTATTCATTTTTTGCCAGATACCCAAAGCATTTACTATGGAGTAAACAAATAGAGTCCCTAAGAACTATATATATATATAAATTGTTGGCAAAAAAAAATAGTATGTTTCTCACACGATATGACACATGATTCATTGAAAAATACAGCTGACACCCAGAATTCTTTTATTATTGATTGAATAAGATTTTTGCTTTTGGTTTTTAGATGTTATTCGAAGGTCCACTTAGTAAGTGGACAAATGTCATACAAGGTTGGCAATATCGCTTTTTTGTTCTTGATCCCACTCAAGGGATGCTTATCTATTATACAGTAAGATGATAAAAAAAGAAAATTAAGATATTCTATAAAATAATTTATTCCAGTCTAAAGAAAATATGGTCAAAGGAGAACGACGTGGAGTTGTTTTATTACGAGTAAATAATCAAGAGATTTTTTTTCTTAATTATTTATTACACACTTTTTAAGGGAGCCTATTTAGGCATTGATTCGGAAGATGATAGTACTGTAAGACTCATGAATATTTTATAGTTTAAAGATATTTATATTATACCTTCTTAGTTTACTATTCGATGTCATGGTAAAACATTTCATTTTCAAGGTAAATCATGTTTTTGTGACATTTTATCTTATCTTAAAGTCATATAAATAAATTCTATTTCTTCTTTAGCTCGTGATGCTGAGGAAAGACAAAAATGGGTATCCAATTTAGAAGAAGCGATAAGCCTTAATAGTGTTAAGACAGTATGTGTTATTGTTTATTTTTTATCAGAAAAAAAGATGATTTTCTTTTTCCTAGGATAAATTATCTGTTTCAAGTACATCATTATTTGAACGTAAAATATCAGAAGCTGATGCTTATTTACAATTATTAATTGATCAAGTTCATGTATGAATATTCAAAAAAAATTAATTTTTATTTAAAAATTTTTTCATATTTATTGATTAGGAACTTGAACAAAAAAGTAATGAAGAAGAAGATACTAATGAACAGGAATGTTATAGACGTGTTGTATCATCAGCTAAAGTATAATTATTAAGGTTTTTTAAAGAAAAAAATGTTTATTCAGTTTATTTGCAGAGATTAATTGAAGCTATCAAATATTCCATTGTGTCATTACAACTAGCAAAAGTAAGAATAATTAATATGTCATTTCAAGATTTTCTTTGCTGATATAGAACTAATTTTTTTGTTTATGACAACAAAGTATCGTTTTGAGGTTTTAATATGATTGAGATATAGTAGTTGCTACTATTCAGAAACTGTCATCCAATGTTTCACCACGCAACAATAATAGAATGAATATGAATATTAGTTCGACCAGTATACCAAGTTCATAAAATTAGTTAATAGCATTCGATTTGTACTATTTTCATTTTCTGTGGAATATGAAAATAGTTTTGCATTAACAAGTATTTGTTTTAGGAGATTGAAAAGTAAGACACAACTAAAGATTGTAATGCTTATATCGATGAACATAAACTCTGAAGTCATACTACTAGTATCATATGATATCTACATTTATTTTTGTTGTGTTCTATTACTAATGAAATTATTATCTACAACAGATGCTTAAATCGTGATTAGAGATAATAAATATTTGACAAGATTTTGATCCAAGACTTAATTATTTTTCTGTAGCACAAAAACTCAGATTTTTTTATTCAAGTAGAATTGATATAATGTGATCTGGTTTTGATCAAACTTGCTCTATAAAGCTGTCAATAAGAATATAATATTTCTATTTTTGTCTAAAGGTTCATATGGATCCACATAGTGATGTTAAATCAGATGTTGATTATGCAGCTGTATTATCCCAAATGAATGTTCATAAAGGTGAAAAATTCTTTAGATTGTATTGAATTTTTTTTCTGCTTTCTGTAAATAGACAAAATTCTTCATAATAATGCAGCATCATCTAATGTTAATAAATTCACTGTCGATCATGAATCAATTGACGGTCATCATCAAGGTAACGCATCTATCGGATGTAAGTATTTCCTTATTATACAAAAATAAATTTCAATATGGTATTCGTCTTGATTTTTTTTTAGCTTTAGATTTTCATACAGCTGTGAAAACTGTTCGTAAAAATTTTCCAGTTTCATCTTATTCAAGTAGTGATGATGATGATGATGATTTTTATGATGCTGATGAAACAATGGAGTAAGAGATAGTTTTATTTCTTTTCTGTTTCTTTTGAAAGATTCATTTCAAATTTATTATATTTTTGTCAAATATAATTATGTTAATATTTTAATGAACAATAGAAGACTAATTTCGATCAGCTTAATTTATTTTGACACGAACATAAACACAAGTTCATTGTTCATGTTTATTCATGTATCTATTCTTATGCGGAAACATTTCCAAATGTCAAATTGTTTTTGAGTAAGAACTATGAATACCCTGAAAAAAAAGGTCAGACTATTGATTTATTGTTGTCATTGTTCCCCTTAGAGACATCAAGAAAACTGAATTTCAAATTTCGACTTGAAATTTTTCACAGAGATGTTCCTTAGCAAGAACAGTTTATTGTAAAAGTTTTTCCTATCGACACTATAGTAAATGCATGTGTTTAACTTCAGTCATATATATATATATATGCAGATTCTGATGTTTTTATTTCAAAATAGAAGCAATCAAAAAAAATCTGGCACTGCTACAATAAACTATTCTCGTTAAGGCATGTCTCTTTGCAAAGTTTGAAGCCCAAAATTCAAAACTCAGTTTTCTTGATGTTCCTGAGAGGAATCACGGCATTGTACTAAAATATATAGTAAAAGTGCAAGACCCTGACAGCAATGAACCATTAGCCTGAACTTTTTTTCCGAGTATTCATAGCTGATTGGGATCTACATGATGCATGTAGTTCTGATTCATCAAAAGCAATTTGACACTTGGATAGTGGTACCTCGTTAGATGAAAAATATTGAATTTTTTTGTTTTGTTTTCCTTCTTCTCGCAGTATATAATTCTAAAGTTCTAAAAGAAATTCCTCAAAAAATATTGATCTATTGCTGGTCTTTTTTCAAAAATTTACATCCTATGAAATGAGAAATATAAAGAAAAAGAAAGAAGATTAAAATTTTAATCTTTTTTTTTGTGCATAACAGATAGTTTATTGTTTCTTTTTTATGAAATAAAATAAGAATATTAATGTATATATAAAGATGCTTAATCGATGGTATTTTAAATGATTATGCTATGCTTTAATAAAGAACTCGTGCATGCGTTCGTAGTTTTTTTTTCTTCAGTCTTCTTTTTATTTCTTACAGCCATTAAATGACATCAAAATCAGTAGTTTCTTGTCAAGAAAAGAAGAAAAGAATGTGCGGAGGAGAACTTTAAAACATAATAGAACTAAGATCATAAGTAAATAAATAACGACACATCGTTAAGGTCATCAATAGTATTTTATATTCAATATTAAGTAATTATTATTTTTTTATTTTTTTTCTTCGGTTATTATGCTAATGTATCCTTATTAAAAGAATTTATTTATTTATTTAGTATATCATCATCATCAACAGCAGCCAATCTTCAACAAGCTGTACCAATTAATATACGAAATAATGATATTTTGTCAAAAACAAATGACAAATTATCAAGAATAAAAATGAATGAATATCAGTCAGATGGAATAACGTATGAACTAATTTTCTTTAGTAAATTATTTATTTAAATACTAGAAATTTTGTTTAGTCGTTTAACAAATTCACAAATTCCATTTGAAGTTTATGAAGCAGCTTATGAAGAAGAACCAGAAGAAGATCGTAAGTAATGAAATTTTCATAACCAAAACAAAAACACATAATGAAAATTCATATTTTTAGTTGCACCTATCGATGGTACTATTATTTCACATTTGATTTCTCAAGTAAGATATTAAGAATTCAAATTTGAGTTTGAATCAACTGCGATTGTAATAAAACCTTGCATCGGAATGCGAATGATTATGAAGAATTTTTTATTGCTCTGAGTTAAATCAGTAAAACTTTAAATTTCAAGAAACAAAAAAAAAAACAAAGATTCGAGAAACATTCTCTTTAATATGCAGCATAAAAAGAAGTAATTATGCTAGTGAAAAAAAAAAAATTTTTTTTCATAGCCAAAAAGTTTGGCTTTATAGGAGTTTAAATTGTAACGATATAGGATGAGATTCAAACAACATTGTCATGTATTATTAAAGTAAAAAAAAAAAACTAATTGACAATATTTGTTCTTTACGTTAAATCTTCTTATATACTAAATACTATCCAAAGATGCTCACATAATCATTCGTGAATATATGAAATAAGAAAAGAAATTTTTTGCAAAGTTTTCTACGTGAAAATAAACAACTTCTGACATTCGATGAAATAAATTGGCTTCATATTTTAGAATGAAAATTGATTCGTCATAGATAAATATGTTGTTGATTTTGAATTATGAAAAAAGAATTAACATCATATGAATATTTATTTTTATTTATAGGCTCGTATATCAATGGATTTAACTAAAATAACATTACCAACATTTATTCTTGAACGACGTTCTTTTCTTGAAATGCTTGCTGATTTTCTTGCTCATCCGGATCAATTTGTGAAGTAAATTATAAAAATATTAATTAACAATTACTAGTTTATATTTGCTTTAGTGTTACGGATTGTCAAACACCACGTGATCGTTTTATTCAAGTTGTTAAATGGTATTTATCAGCATTTCATGCTGGTCGTAAGAGTCCTGTACCAAAAAAACCATATAATCCAATACTTGGTGAAACATTTCAATGTTTGTATAATCTCGGTGCATCATCATCATCATCATCGACTGTCAGTAAAGAAAAAACCAATATTTGAATTCTTATAATAATCTTCTTTTTTTTTCATATAGATAACTTTAGCAAAAGATGGTCCTGTTCCATGGGCATCTGATGATAATGTTACTTTTATTGCTGAACAAACTTCTCATCATCCTCCAAGTAAATATTAGAAATCAATATTAATACTTCTATTTGATAAACATGTTTCTTTTCTAGTCGCATCATTTTATGCTGAATGTCCTGCAAAACATATACAAATTGATGGATGTCTTTGGACAAAATCAAAGTTTTTAGGCTTATCAGTTGCTGTACATATGATTGGTGATGCGACACTAACATTACTTGATCATGATGAACGTTATGTGATGACATTCCCTAGTGCATACGGCCGGTATATATCTATAGGAGTAATTACTTTGTTCGGATATTCTAGTTTACATTGTCACAATCATATACAATGTTATGAGTACTTGTACAGACTGCGAAACATACAGATACCCATGATTTTAATTGTGAAAGATAACAATAATTATTTTGATATTTATTTGTAAAACATCTGATATGATTAAGAATCAAAGTAACCATCGGTATTTGAAGTTTTTATAGGTACTCCATTGGCAATCATATGATAAGAATATCTAGTTCAAAATTAGAGGCTTTATCGAAATTAACATATTATCTATGAAGATAGATCAAATGCAAAAAAGACGCTTCCTAACAATTATTTCTTATGACAAGATATAGAGTTCGGGAAAAGAAAAAATCAGTGCTAAACAAATTTCCATAACCAATTTATTTTGCGTAACAACGTAATTTCGAAAAAAAGAATTGAATTTCTGACTTTATATCTTATCTAAATATGTACTTTTGAGTATTTGTTAAGGTAATGTATGTTTTTAACAAATACATAATATGTAACATGAATTTGCTATTTGAAATTAAAGTAAAATGACATAAAAATTAGTGAAATATTTTTTTTTCACAATATTACTTTTCATTGATCTGGTGTGTACAATATCTAATTAACTGAAATACATTAGGATATTTTTGTGTCTTCAACATTCTTTTCAATATGGTATTTATCGTTATATATAAGAAATAAAACAAATGAGTTTAGACTTGACAAATAATACTCATTAATTTCTATCTATGGCTACATTGGTGAAATTCTATAACTGATGACAGAGTAGAAGATTAACGATAGGGTCATCGATAGTCAGATTATGTTTTGTATGTTGCTATAGATTTGTCTGTTCAATATATTCGTACATTGTCAATGTTGATTGTTGGTGGAGACAGTAGAAAAGATTAAACAAATATATTTGAGCTTAATCGATTATTGTCGAATGATTATTTAGATCTATTCTTGGTGTTCCATGGTTTGAAATGGGTGGTAAAGTATCTATTGATTGTGAAAAAACTGGTTATTCAGCTCATATAGAATTTTTAACCAAAGTATGTCGATTTAATTTCTTATGTAATATTAAACAAAAACAAATTTTTTTTTAAAGCCATTTTATAATGGAAAAAAACATCAAATAACTGGAACTTTATTTGGACCAGAAAAGAAAGAATTTTGTAAAATTGATGGAGAATGGAATGGTATAATGTATGCAAGATATAGTGATACAAAAATTTCTGATATTTTTTTTGATACAAAAACAACACCTGTTATTAAAAAAAGCGTTCGACCAATCGCTGAACAAGATGAATTTGAGAGTCGATGGTATGAGTAAATGAAAGATAAATAATAAAATTATTTCTCTCGTTTTTTTTTTCTAGTTTATGGAAAGATGTAACTTTTTATTTAAAATCCAAATTATTGGATAAAGCAACTGAAGCGAAATCATTACTTGAACAACGACAACGTGAAGGAGCTAAAGAACGTGCTGAAAAATCAACTAAATGGCAAACAAAAGTAAATGAAAAAAAAAAATTTATATTTCATTTAAAATGTTTTGTTTTTTTATATTTAATTTTAGTATTTTGTTGAATCAGGTGAACAAAAATGGTCCTATCAAAATAAATTAAATAAACGATTAAAACAACAATCATAAGAAAATTCATTTTTATTCATGCAAGAACTTTTAATTTATTTTATTTTTCTTTTGTTTTAATCATGTGCCTGATTTTTGGGGTTCTTTTTTTTGAAAATCATTTCCGATTATATGTATAAAACCGAGTGACATTGTAATTCCTCTCACTCTGTCAGATTGGATATAATGTTATATTTCTTATTTCATAAGAAAAAAAGAAGAGAAAGAAAAATTTTTATTCATGTGGGTGCTAGTTTCATAAATCTTTAATCGTTCCGTTGTTCTTGTTGTTGTTTTCTTTTCTTGTTTTGTTTTCTTTTTGATGATTAGCAAATTCTTATTTATATTCCTTAATCGAGTCATTGTGTATATACGTAATTTAGATATAGACAAAAACAAAGATGTCATCAAATATGTTGATGCTGTCTTCATATTTTTCAAAAAACAGCAGTAAACTTGCAAGTTCATTTTCAACTGAACGGTCAATTTTTAAAAATTTAATTCAAGCATTTGTACCAAAAGCAGGTATTCTTGCTTTAAAGTCTTGCTGGAATGCCAGAGATATAATAGAAACTGTTTTTATCTAATAGACACAGATGAAATATTGCTTCATTTTGCAAGTTTTTTTTGGCTCTAGTTTTGCTAATGGAAAAAAAAACGATTCTGACAGTTTGTCACTTAGTAACACATTCACCTACTTTTTATCTTCGGATTGTCATAACTTAACAATATAATGTGACACTCAGCTGAAACTTACACTAGAAAGATATGTAAAAGTTATAGTTGCGCTAAAATTTTCATTTTATGTTGTCATATATCAAGAAATTTTCTTGCTTTGAACAAAATTTTATCATTTGTACTTGTAGCTAATGCAACAAAACCTTATGATGGTTAGAGTTTTTTTTTTTTTTTGGAAGTCTGTTTATGGAAAGAGTTAGTATTAGAATATTATGGTAATGCACTCGAAGATTTTTTCAGATATACTGTAAAGGCATACTTTTTACTGCTTCGAGGGCAACAGAAGATGACTCAGTAATGTCAAACTATAGCTCAGCCTTAGGTGATACCACTATTATGATATAGTACTGTTCAAAATGCGAAGCAAAACTAAGATACTTGTTTTATTTCTTGTTTTTGCACAAAAAACAATATTTAATTTTGACTGGTAACTATCATTTATTTTCGCTACGTATTCAAAATAAATGACATCTTTCAACGTGAAATATATGGAAAGTGAAAAAGAAAAAATTTTGAATGAATAAGTTCGGTCGTTTTATGTTTGAGAAATCATTTTTTCAACTTTGAACAAATTATTGAGATTTATATCATTGAAGAGCAGATAAGAATACATTGAAATTTATAACTTTTGTTTGTAAGGAATAATATAAAGCATATTGTATTTAGTAAAGTAATTGTTTTTAGTTTTTCTTTTAATTTTATTTCTTTTTATCAAATATATGATTTAATTAAATGAGACTTTAATATATTTGTTGAATCATATGAAATCAGATTAGAAGAAATGACTTCTATTTATTTCGGAAGTAATTTACCGTTAAAGATGTTCCGATAGAATTATGAAAACTAATTGACATAATTATTGATATATTTTCCTGTCAATTACATATTGAAAATCTATTGTAAAGAAACAATGTTATTAATTAGTATTGTTAAAAAGAAATTCTTATACATAAGCTGGATTATAATTTAAAAGATTAAATTGTAAAACAGACCTCGATATTTTCCAAAAGAATATTATTTTTTAATCACCTTAGAGAATTTTATGTTTTATAAAATTCTATTCCTAATTATTTTTCTACTCTATAACATATAGTATTCTAGTATAACTTTCTTCTGATAATATTTAATGATTATTCATGTAAATTAAATGTTTCCGTTTTTTTTTTTTTTTTTGATAAAATAAAACAAGTAGAAAATGACCTGTTTTGATAAAATATACAGATAGTAAAAATAATTTTATATTTTTTTCTTTAAAGAATCTATGATCCAGATCATGTGTATGCTCGAATGAAAGCAGCTGATCTATTAAAAAATCTTATTGAAATACTTCAACATTATATAGATAATCAATTTCAATATGAAAGGTCGTGAAAAGCCAAAAAATGGCATAGTAAGTATGAAAAAATGAACTTGATAATGTTATGACATCCTTACATAATTCTACAATAAGTAAATGGTAAAAATAACTTTTTTTCTCTTTTAATTATATTGTCATGTTCTATAATTTAGATAAAATAAAATTGTTAATAATAGAATAATTCTCCAATTTTAATCTTTATCTACAACTATTCTTGATAGGAATAGATTAAGCAAACAAAAAACACTCTTGTCCTTTTTTTTTTCTTTTGTGTATATTTTAATTCGTGTATAATTTCTTAAATGATGTTTTTTCTTTTGTAATAAACTCCATACATATATTTATTTATTTATTTAAAGTTTAGTTGTTAGATGAATAATAAATCAACCATTAGCAACATCAAATAAAGTAATACGAAGTCATAGAAACATATTTTATCAAAAAGAAAAGAAAAATGCATGTTGTTTTTCATTTGTTAAAAATAAAACATGTAATGCAACAACAATAACAGAACGTCAATTTAAAAAAAAAAAAGAGAGAAAAACGAACGGCAAGCTTCAAATCATGTCCGATTTTGCAAAATGAAAGTTCTCGTTCTCATTTCTTTTTCTTCTCTTGTCGACGCCATTATAAACATTAGATTGGAAGAATAGCAACCGTAATCTGACTCCAAACATCATCCGTTGTATCCACCTATCTACTCTACTTAATTAATCCATCCTTTTCTCTGTCTCTCGCTTTCTTTCTTACTTTCGCTCTGTTTTTTTTGCTTTCCTTCACGCAGACTAATATTTGCATGAAGAAACGAGAGACTTGACGGATTGACTCTTCTATCATCTAATCTTACATACTACAACTTCTTATTGTCTATATTGCATCGAACTTATTAGTGAACAATGGTAAGCATTTTAAAGAATTTGACGATATACTCATGCTGATAATGGTTTTGTTTTTCTCTCTTTAGAGTACATTTTCGACTGCAAAAACTGAAGGTAAGAAAGAATATAATTAAAAAACAAAAAAATATTTTTATTCATAAAGAATTTCGACATGTGTTCGAATTATTCGATAAGAATGGTGATGGTAGTATTGATGCAAATGAAATAGGGTTAGTATTTAAAAAAAATATTTTTTATTTTTTGTTTTTCTATTTTTTACAAATAATTATCATGTAACAATTAATTATGTATCTATTCAAACACATAGTTTATTAATGTTTAAATATTCATAATTAATTAATTTTTCAATATTTTTTATTGTATACAAATTATAAGCATTTATATAAGAATAAAATATACTATTCGTTTTTTATGATTTTGATTTATTAGGAAAAGCAAAGCCTAAATAGTTAATCCATATAAAATCCACGTTTATATATATATATTATTTTGTAATAAGCTTTCTAGAAAAGAAAAAAAAGGAGAATATGTCTATTTCTGAAGGGTATCATTAGCGATATTGAACTCATTACTATGGTATTTTTGCAGAACACTACGACTTAATGTTCGTGTAATATTGAAGACTACACTTAACTTTTTGAATTAATAGTATTCTTAAAACTAATAAGTATTATTAGTTAGTTATTAAATATTAATGTTTATTTAACATAAAAAATGCATATATTGAAGATTGAATTTCATATGATAGAAAAATATTATATGGTGTTTTTTTTTTGTTTTTAGACAAGTAATGCGATCATTAGGATTAAATCCAACGAATAAAGAAATTACAGATCTAATTGCTGAAGTAGATAAAAATGGTAAATGAAATTATTTAAGTTTATTTTTTTATTTCAAATATATATTATTAGGTAATCAACGTCTAGATTTTCAAGAATTTATTGCATTTATGAGTAAACATTGGCATGAACGTGATCAAGAAGCTGAATTACGAGAAGCTTTTCGACTTTTTGATCGAGATAATTCAGGATATATAACTATTAGTGAATTAAAACAGGTTGATTTTGAATATAATTCATATTTTATAACCTTTTGTTTTTACTTCTTCGTTGAAGGTTATGCTTAATATGGGTGAAAAATTAAATCAAGAAGAATTAGAAGATATGATGCGAGAAGTTTGTTAACAATAATAACTATCGATTTCTTATAATTAATATTTATTTTATTTAGGCCGACGTAAATAAAGATGGTAAACTTGATTATCAAGGTAAGAAAATAATTATTTTATTAATTTCTTTCTTTTCTTTTTTTTTTTTTTATAGAATTTGTACAAAAACTTCTTTCTACTTCTTGAACAAGGACTATTATGTTTCTTTTTTTTTTTTTCTTTGCTGTTCATTCTATTCTAACCAGCTTTTAAGTAGATCACACACACTTATATGCATCCATTTTATCCTTTGTAGATTGATTGAAAATAAAATAAATATGTTAAAGGAGATAATTGAACAAAATCGATTTTCTATGAGATTTTAAAAATAAAATCATCAATCTAAGAAAATTAATCATTGATATATAGAATTAGAATAAATACTTTTTTTTGAAAATCGAAAGAGTTTATCATTCTAAATAGAAATGTTATTAATATAAAATTTTATATCAAACGAAAGATCGTCAAGAACAAAGTTTAGTAGTATAATTAATCACTCATAGAATGATCAGGAACTCATCGGAAGTCGCAAAATTTCAGACATATAATTAAAGATTTTATCTAATCAAGCAAGAAATATAAATAGATCTTAGGAAATTCTCCGCCTATCCTACATTGTAGAGTTCTCTTTGTTGATCATTTTAATAAAAAGACGTTTTAACTTTGATCAATAAACAACGGTAATAGAGTTAAAGTACTAAAAAACCTGAAACACGTGTTTCTGCTAGAATTATAATTTTATTTCAATGGTTTGATCTTAGTATCGCTATTCATTTAACAAATTGAATGAGTTTTCTTTTTGTGTACTCAAAAAGTGAGCACACTCTAGAATCGGTCAGTATGTCCGTCCGGCCGTATACACGATAACTTCCGAAAGGAGAGTCCGATCACGATGAAATTTTCTACACAGTTCAGTCTTAACAATGGATAAAATGGATGCATATAAGTGTGTGTGATCTACTTAAAAGCTGGTTAGAATAGAATGAACAGCAAAGAAAAAAAAAAAAAGAAANCGCTGATTCCGAATCTGATATTAGTTTTGAACCAAATCGTAGCTTTCTAACAAAACATCCCCCGAAAAAGGTCTCAAAATGCAGAAAAACTACATGAAAAAAGCAAATAGTCTAGATATGTCTCAGATGATAAAAAACAAAGTGAATATACCTTTTCACTTTTTGAAGTACACATAACACTCGGATTTAAATCCGATGTTTTCGCATTTATTTATTAAAATTCTTAAGAAAGAGAATTCTTCGAAGTCTGATAAGTGAAAAATTTGCTGATTATCTATTTGTTTTTCTTACTTGACTATAGATAATTCTCAATTAAATACGTAAATGTTTGCAACGAACTTGTGTTTGATATAAAATTCAAATCTGATATCATTTGTATTTGGAATCATCTTCTATCTTTCCTCTGGAAAAATATTATTTTCAATTCTGTAGAACTCGAGAAAATTGAATACGACAATAAACAATGTAAATATTGAATTAATTATATGGATGTTTATTTATTCAATTAAACAATATTAAACAACAACAATGTTAAAGAGTACGATGACGAAGAATTCTTTAACGATCATCAAGTCTGTAATAGTTCGTCATAGAATCTTGTTGCTCGGTTTATTATAGCTAAAATAATGTGTTTTTGATAATTTTCTTAACATTGAAACACTTTATCTACCATAATTAGTTTATAAATATTAAATATATCATTAATAATACGTTCTTTTGATTCTTAGAATCATTAAACTATATAAAAATATTTCTATTCTTCAGTTTCTTGAACTGTTGTTTTTTTTTTTTTTTATACATAGGATATTAAATTATCTTTATCGTAAAATTCTCATTGTATCGAAATTTTTTATTTAGAATTAAAACAAAAAGAATTTTTACTATTTTTAAAAACATAAAATTTATTGCAATAAAAAAATTAATTCTATACAAAAAATCAACAAACATAGTCAAAAATGTGTACAATTGAATTGTAGAAGATTCTTTTTTTCTTTTTTTGTTTTATCTGGAACGTTCTAATGTAAATATACGAAGTATAACTGTATGACAACTAAGTTCCTGAACAATTAATTTATCATGTTCATGCATAATTTTTAATTGATTATGTTTATTATTCTTTTTAAAATGAATATCTTGACGACAAATACCTATAGGATGTTCAATAATACGTATAATAGCCATATCAGATACTTCAGATTCAAAAAGTAATGTTAATAAATTATTATATATATCAAAATAATGATCAATTACAACTGTTGATGATAAATCTAAAATTTTTTGAGGTTTTGTTTGTCGACCATAACGTGTTATATGTCGATTATTTGATGTTGTTATTGTAGCTACACCATCATCAATTGTATATAAATGTTTAATATATGTTGATTCATCTTGTGTTAATTGCCAAACATGTACAATAGATTCTCGAATATCAATTATACAATCATGATGATTTTTTGTATCAATAAAATAGACTTGACTATGTGGAGATATATTATCAGTCCATGATCGTTTTAAATGACCATTTGAAATAGGTGCTAAATTATTATTTATATGTAAAACAAAATAATCTTCATTAATACGTGTAAGAAAATGTTGTGTACTACAAAAAGCATAATCAAATAATGGACGTTCACAATTAAATGTAAATAGACAAGTTGGACAAGATGTTATTAAAACATTTATTGGTAATAATTCATTAGGATGATCATATATTGAATGTGATTTTATTGTATATTCATCAAGAATAGTATGAAGTGAATATAGATTACAACTATAAAATCAAAAATAAAAATGAAAAAGTTTGTATAGAATTATAAATTTAGAATAATTTCAATCATAAAAACAAATGATTTTAGGTGATTAGAGAAGTTTTTTAAAAGTTTTCTTATGTCTTAGAATAGATTCATTAGTATATGAACGAAGAGAATGATCCGTTGAAGAAAACAAAATTGATCAAAAAATAAATTTAATAATAAGAAAAAAACTAAATGTTGGTATTGTATAGAACAATGGTGATTGTATAAGAAAATAATATTTTTTTAACATTTTCCTTTGTTGAAGCCGATTTCTGCATGCTATTCTCATATATCAATCAGTTTTAGTCTGAATACTTCTAAAAATGTCGCTTTACATTTTGTCAGTAAAACAAAATTGTAGCTTTCACTTTTTGGAATATTCTTCTACTATTTGAGTTACAAAAAAATGGTTAAATTTTTGTTGCAAACGGTTTAGTTTTCATTGAATTATAAGGGTAAGAAAATTAAAAAAAATCACTCTACATCCAACATGAAAATAGTTCTTTTTAGTTTTGTGCAAAATTTTTGTATTAACAAAGTTTATGAAATAAACCTCTTTTACTTCTCAAATTATTCCCTTCCCCCCGATTTCTCTTTGATATTTATTATCGATTGTTTTTCATTGATAAAATTTCGTTTAAAGCTAAAACCAAGAACATATTCTGAAAGATTCCTCAGAAACTAAAGTAGATAGATACTTGATTTTTTTTTAGAAGTGAATGACCATCTTTAGACCAGTGAAACAAAAAAACTTTTATGAGAATCAATTCAGTAGAAGTCAATTTACAGACATTTTTCTTTTCGGAATACAACGGTACAATCGCTGTGCTCTTCACTCATATGTTAGTGATAGTGACAGATTTAGAGGAGGGCAATTGCCCTACTTTCAAAAGATTTTTCTCGGTTTTTTCTAGCAAAAGAAAAGTCTTTAAAACGGGCTGATACTACTTGTAATGAGCTTCGAAATACATTTTATGATCTTAATCAGGTCGCATCATAGAAATCCTCGATCCACCGCTGATTAGTGAATGATGTAGAGTATCAAGGTCTTATTAGAATAAATAAATAGAAAATAGAAATAAAGTAGAGAATCTCGTATAGTAAAAGCAATTTTGTAATTTATCTAGATTTGTATATTTGGATGATTTTTTTATAAAATGCATAGCTGCAGCATTTGTTAGGTTCCAATAAGATTATATTTATTTCTTTTACTTCATGTATTTCAACATAAACTACGATTTATATTAATCAGTACATTACTTTAATTTAATTGCTCTTAGTTTCGATAGTCAATATGAGTACTAGTACCATTAGACGTTGTGAAAATTATAACTGCTTGATAATCATTCAAAGCTTAAGAGGGAAAAAACACTTTTTTGCTATTTCTAATAGACACGGCGGAAATAACACTTTTTTTTTCTTATCAAGTATTCAAAATAAAGTTTGAATGGTATCTAACAATCCTACCATTTAGTAAAAGCATTTACAAAAAAAGAAAATAATGAAACGAAGTGGAATGGCTCATACTTAATTAAAGAAAAAAAAATAAATCAGTTCCTTCATTTAGAAAGATAAAATCTTAAATCAATTGTACTAAAAGATAATTGTTATTTGGTTTTTTAAATTAAATTTCTTAATAAGACATTGTCGTATATCAAACAAAGTTATTTTACCTATTTCGTTGATTTTGTACAATAAGTAATTCATGTGTTATAGCTGCTTGTTTAAGATCACTACCAAATATATGAGGTTCAATTAAAAAGACATAACTAAGCCAACGTGGCCATATTCTTAATAAAATAAAAAGATGTGATCGTTGTTTATAACGTGTATGTATTGATATTGTATGATTGTGTTCATGATATTCAAATGACTTTTCAAGAAATTTAACTGGAATTTCACATTGAAAACAAATGCCATTTAATGGCATACGTAATTTTAATTTAAAATCATATAAAAATAAATGTTGATCAGCAGTCATTAATATAAAACCATCTTGCTTTAAAAGATTTCTATTTTGAAAATCACTATACGTACATATACCAATAAAAACAATTTTAACTGTAAATAAATCTTCACCAATTAAAATTAATTTATTTTTATCTATTACATACAAACGAAGATTATTTAATTGTAATGTTAACATATAATGACCAAGAATAAATGTTGATTTATTTGGTAATAATTTATGTTCAGATGTTTGATTAGATTCTTGAAATTGACATGAATAATTTGATTTAAGTAAACGTCGAAGACATATTTCATTAATAATTGTTGATGTTGATGATGAACAATAAGGACGAATATGATATAAACATGAATGTAATGATAATTGTTCAATAGGAATAATTGATTGACGACTTATTAAAGAACGAATACGATTACGACATAAACGATTAGAATAAGATAATGGCATGATCTAAAAATACTATAAAATAAAAGTATTCTGAACTTATATATATATAATAAATATGAAAAATAAATAAAAATATATATTTATCACAGCGTTCATTTATGGATTATTTCGAAATGATTTAATCATCGAAATTTGATTGTTGAGATATTATTGATTTATGTCTATTACCATGAGTTACTAGACGACGTTGACGTATTTCTAAAAACGAAACAAAAAAAAAAGAAAATTATAAATACTGAAAAAACTTGATTAAATTTTACTTAAAATAACTAGAAAGTTTTAGATTTCCAATCTTTCGAATTCATGACAATGAAGATTGTATCTTTTAAATAAGATATTAAAATGTTACACTGATAAAAATGAAGGCGTAGTCTTTTGTTCAACTTATTTTAGCATGTCAACGAAGATTTTTAAATACAGTATTAATTTTATATCGAAATGTTTTATTGGAATAGATGATTTAATCGGAGTTTTTAATTATGAAATAGAAGTAAGGCTTTATGAAAACGCATCATTGACAAGAAATAAATTTAACCTCATATATACATATCTTTAAAACAATTTCATTCTATAGTTGTTATTACTTTCATAATAGATTTATTGCATCTCATGAAAAACACTTTCAACTTTTGTTGCTTTTTAATTATTTAATCAACCTTAACAAAGGATTGAAAATTGCACTAGTTACATTTTAAGATCGATTCTAAATGTCATAGTCTTTTTAAAAACTTCGTTCGGTTTAGTTTTTTTATTGCGCATGGTAAAGCAATCCTGAAATATGCAACTCGAAGCTTCTTGAAGACTAGTGCATACGACTTTCTGTTTAATTACGTCACAGTTCGATAACTTTATATCCATAAAGTGCAGAGAATTCTACGAAAAATATTATTTGTCTAGAAAGTAATGCGATGAGAAAATGATATGATCAATTTTTTTGATGCCACAAAGACTTATTAGAGTTTTGGTGACTGCTTCGAACACTAAACAAATTTCTATGTAGCAGATGTTGAGATCTACTGTTGTGTTTGTTGCTGATTTATAGAAAAAATCCTTCAAAATCGAAAAACAAATTGATTTTCCAACCGAGACAAAAACGCAAGAAGAATAATATTGTCTCAAGTAGCTTGCCTTCAATATTTAATGATTTGATGACATCGGGATCTGTTACTGTTGGTGAAGACAAATCCTTATTTATTGGCAATGATGCAGATGATGTTGTTGATGGCGTCGGATTATTTATTGTTATTTGTTCTGAACTCATCGTTGGTGTTTGTTCCAAATTATTCATTGGTATTCGTTCTGAATTCAGCATTGGTGTAGGTGATGTATTCATAGCTGGCATTGGAATTGATTCTGGAATTTCTTCAACTGGTTGTGTTGTAGAATTGCTAATTTTTAAACTATCAGCAATAGCTGCTTCAAGATATTGCTGATTCAACTTTTCTATACGATCTGCATCATAAGAAATATTTGCATTCGTATTCATTATTGATGGACCAAGTAAGGAATCAGGTATCATATCTTGCCATATATCATCTTCCTCATTACCAAATCCAATATTTGTTATGATTGCTTGCTGAACACCGGAATTACTAACTAATCCGCTAATTCTTTGAGGTGATCGATTTATAACAATCATTTGACGAGTTACTTCCATTCCTTGTCGTTGTGATTGATTTGAATTAGCAGGCTTTGGTTCTTCAATTATATTTTGTGTTGGCATTCGTTCTGAATTAATCTTTGGAGCTAGTGATGAATCAATGGCGGGTGTTCGTTCCGAACTTACTGCTGTTGTTTGTTGTGAATTATTCATTTGTGTTTGCTCTGAACTCATTGTTGGTTTTTGTTCTGAACTCATCGTTGGCGTTGATGATGAGTTCATAGCTGACATTGGAATTGATTCTGGAATTTCTTCAACTGGTTGTGTTGTCGAATTGCTAATTCTTAAACTAGCAGCAATAGCTGCTTCAAGATGTTGCTGATTCAACTTTTCTATACGATCTGCATCATAAGAAATATTTGCATTCGTATTCATTATTGATGGATCAAGTAAGGAATCAGGCATCATATCTTGCCACATATCATTCTCCTCATCTTCAAATCCGATATTTGTTATGACTGCTTGCTGAACATCGGAATTACTAACTAATCCGCTAATTCTTTGAGGTGATCGACTTATAACAATCATTTGACGAGTTACTCCCGTTCCTTGTCGTTGTGGTTGGTTTGAATTAGCAGATTTTGGTTCTTCAATTATATATTGTTTTGCTGTTCGTTCTGCATTTAGTGCTAGTATTCGTTCTGTGTTAATTGTTGGCGTTGATGATGAATTCATTATTGGTTCTGACGACGAATTGATGGGGGGTGTTCGTTCTGAATTAGTCGTTGGTGTTGGTGATGAATTCATAGTTGATATTGGAATTGATTCTGGAGTTTCTTCGATTTGTTTTGTTGTGGAGTTATTACTTCTTAAACTAGCAGCCATAGTGGCGTTAAGATATTGTTGATTCAACTTTTCTGTATGATTCTCATAAAAAGAAATATTTGCATCTGTGTTCATTGCTGATGTACCAAGTAATGAATCAGACATCATAAGTTGCCGTAAATCATTCTTGCTATTTAAAAATCCGACTTTTGTTGTGGATGTTCGCTGAGTACCGTGAATATTATCTAGTGCTGTATCTCTTGGTGACGACCGACTTACAATAATCGTTTCACGCGTTACTCCGACTCGTTGTGGTTGTGATTTATTTGAATTATTGGACTTCGGTTCTTCAATTATTTGTTGTGATATAACTCGCGTTATTATATGAGATTGTTGATGTGGTTCATTTGAATTGGCAGTAAATGGATCGTCCATCATAGGATTTTCTAATCGTTTAGTTAATAATTGTCGAGCTTGAGTATGCATTGAATAATCGCAATTCTCCATCAAGATTTCATTAATCTCACGTTGTGATCTAGTTGCAAGCAATGCATGACGACGAGAATGATTATGGTTAGGGTTTGAGCAATGTACATGTTCTGGGATTTCATCCTGAATTACATATTTTGGTGCATATGCTAATATCTTTTGCTTTAATAGTGGATCATTAGGATTTTTTTTATATTCATCATATAAATATTGTGGTACTCGTACAGATATTCTTCCAGCATTATGTGGATCTCTAGGATTCCCTATAAGTTCATCATCCATAATCGTTGTGGGTAAATCTTTAACTAAGATTCTATATTCTTGTTGAGTAATCGGATTAGCTGTTAACTGTTGATCAGCTAAACAGTCTGGTAAATTTCCATGTACGACAAATACTGAATAACCATTTCCTTGTATCATATTTAAATATGGTGACAATACTTCACGGGGTATTAAATATGGTACATAAAACATGGAATTTAAATCAAAATATTGTCTACCAAATTGTCTTAGAGTAAACCAGTGTGAACCTAAGTTACAAATATAAGCTTGAATACTTTGTGGATTAGCACGTGCTTGTTTAGCGATATCTTCTTGACTCGCATAAGATATTAACTCAAGTTCGAACATTTTTAATGCTAATTGTAATACTTGAATGTTGAAAAAACCGGTATCTATAAAAATGAAAATTTTTTATTGAGAAAGAATTTTTTGTAAAAATTCAACAAACCATCCATATTCTCAGATTGAATTAATGTATGTGTTAATACACTATTTTCTTCTTTATCAAGTTCACTAGAAAGAATAAATTAATTTATAAAATAAATTTTAATTATTTCATCTACCGAGCGATATCAGCTAAATTATCAGCTGAAAATACTGGAGTTTGTATAAGATTATTTAATGCATGTTGAGCACAAAGAGCACCTTCTTGATGTTCATGATAAATTCCTGTTCGTTCCTTTACTTTATCCATCTACAAGTGAAAATCATACTTATTATAAAACAATGTGCAAAAACAAAAAAGAAATCAATCAAAAACGAAAATCATTTATTAATTATTCATTGAACGTGGAACAGATGATGATCGATTAATACTACAAATAGATAAGAGTATAAAAAATAACAAATATTAAAAAACAAAAATAATAACCTTTTCGTTTGTTGAATTGGACGTTTTTGATTTTGTGTGGCACTACGAATACCAGCGATAGGATATGCTTGTTGAGTTTGTCCTGTTGAATTTTGTTGATTTAATGCTTTCGGATTTCTAAAGAAATAAAGTTATTATGAAAGAAAATAAGCATTTATATTAACAACAAACTTTGATGAAGAATTTGTATTTCGTTGAAATATTTTTTCTGCATTAAATGGAATTAAATTCAATGATGATATATCATCATTTGAACGAGAAATTAATAAATAAGGTACAATTGCATAATACCAATGTAATATATAAGGTGGAATACCAAAATCAGTATATTTATATTGCCAATAAGGTAAACCACAATGAAGAAGAAATAGACGATAATAATCAGTAAACGTTGAAGCAAGTCGATGAAAATGTAATGAACGATCCATAAACCAAATACTTACATCACGATTCTGTGCAAATAATAAAACATAGTATTAATGAAAATAATAAGATCTAGAAGCTAAGTCTATGAAGTCTCGAAAGAAACGATAGAAAACTTTGTTGGATAGTTGTTTTTCGCAATAATTGATAAGATTAATTTCAATTTTCTAATCATGATCAAAGTATTGTGAATAGACAACCACTGGCATCATGTAATATCATTATTTCAATTCGAAAAGTTTTAAAAAAATGAATATGCTACTTGTAAACTTATCATAAGTGTTTCTGTGTACTCAAAAGAAATTATTTTGACTTGCTACACTCATAGAACTTTTCTCTGTCTAAAGATAGTAGTTGATCAAATTTTTAACTGTACGTAAACATGAAATTCAATTCTTATATGATGTTTTACGTAAAGATTTCTAGAAAACTGCATTACCAGTATTGTAAATCACAAGATTCTTTGAAGAGTTTTTCTTTTGATATTGTTATATTAAAGATTAGAAAGATTGTTTAAAACTTACGAGGAAACATATCTTACTATCGGGTGTCATTCAACTTCATATAATAACTACAAGTAGGTTACTATTAGACAAAGAAAACTTAAAAAGATTCGGGCTAATGACCTACTGATGAAGAGTTCTAACCATTTCAACGAAACTTTTAATGAAAGCAAAATATTTTCGAAAAACTCAAAACAATGACTTTTTACTTCAAATTTTGCCTATTGACACACTTGATAATCATTAAACACTTTTGAAAGTTTCAAAGAAAATAAACATGTATTCTTGAGATATTCAATGTCCACATAAATTTGACTGAAGATTTTAAGACTATCTAATAACTAGTAAATCTGCCTATAGACAATGATCTTAGTAAAAATTTTATTAAAACAACTATTAATCTTTATCGGTAGACTATGTATCCAAATTCTTTTAAGTTTTTCTTAGTTTCACAGGAGTTTAATCATAGTCATAATATGAAACTGAACGATGCTCAACAATTGGATATGTTCCGTCATCAGAAACTTTCACACAGAGATGTAGAATCTGCCCGTGGCTTGAAGTGATGCTTCCAGAAAAAAATGAGTGACCTATCAAGCAAAATAAGAAAAACTAAATAAGCTTGAAATATTGGAAAATATCATTGAACTGTTTAGTGAGAAAGGTTGTTTGCCTTTAAGTTTTGATATAATCTGAACAAACGGGGAATGATTTATCTTATAATTTAATCATTTAGAAAAATTTCCTGTGCTTTTCTGCTTATTTCAGGAAAGATTCGGTAGATTCTGCTTCTTGGCTTTCACATAACCATATGTACAACTTTTCTATCCTTACAAATGCTCTAAATTGTAAGATTCTATTCAACATAAGCAGTTTTTGATAAACTTTTACAATCTATCTATATCGTATTTCAAATTCGACTTACGAGGGAAGGTCCCCAACTGTCCAACCGCCTTTGAGTTCGGACTCTGTGCATAAGGTAGACCCCAGTGAGGTATGAAAAACCGCAAAAGGATAACGGCCCTTAGACCTTCTGTCCAGAGTTATAGGGAATTAACTGGAATTTTAGCCTATGGCATGGTATTTACCAACCAATCGAATGACGATATTTCGGGTTGAGATTTCGTCCATAGACAGGTCTAGTTGTGAGTAGAATGTCCTGAAAATTTCAGCTCAAAAGAATGTTTCCTTCTCAAGATATTAAAGTAAAACAAAACAGAAAATTCTAGCACCTTTCGTGAAATATGAGTGATTTTTTTGAGATTTTAATATCTCGGGAAGGAAACATTCTTTTGAGCTAAAATTTTCGGGGCATTCTACTCACAGCTAGATCTATCTATGGGCAAAATCTCAACCCGAAATATCGTCATTCGATATTTTGGTAAATACCATGCCATATAGGCTGTAATTTCAGTTAAATCCCTGTAACTCTGAACAGAAGGCCTAAGGGCCGTTATCCTTTTGGAGTTTTTCATACTTCACTGGGGTTTACCTTATGCACAGGGTCCGAACTCAAAAGCGATTGGACAGTTGGGGACCTTCCCTCGTGAGTCTTCTGTTACCCAACACCCATACTTTCTGTTTCTAGTGAACTTGGACGACGATGATTGTACGACATTTTTTTATATATCTCAAATAATAAGTTGTTGCTTTTTAATAAATGATATTTTTGCTGAAATTTCTCTTTTTTTTTTGTTGTTGTGCAATTTTTGTTTCTTTCTCGGAAAGAAATCTTTTTTTTCTCTGGTCTATTTTTTTTTGTTTTTATGATGTGATTTGCGTCATTTTTTTTTTCTTGTTTTACAGTTTCTAACAGATTTTTGTTGTTTTAACATGCGTGCTTTACGAGACCAAACTAAAGCAACAGTCGAGCAGAATTTGTTTTTTTATCCGGTAAACTATAGAAATTTTGAGTTTTTTAGTGAGAAAGATACAATTTTTTGCATTTCTTATAATACATAGTTCATCACTAATAATATTTTTGAATAAGAAAATACATATTACCGGATGATCCAAAAGTGTCTTGGTCGTTCATAGAAAAATCGCTCGTTCTCCCGTCTTACAAATTCAAAAATGCTCAAAATTAGAGGTCTGACCCCTTGTAACTAAACAAATATTGCCCTAAATTTTCAGCTCTCTAGTCCTTATTATAGGGGAGCTATATAGGTTCGTATGATAGAGAATATTTTTCTTCCATGTTCGAAAATCATAATAGCAAGAGGTTGAATAAAAAGAATAAAAGAAAAAGTAAAAAAAAAAAGACATCAGAATGAGGAAATATTAAGAGATACATAACGAATCGAATTATATCTTAAGTTTGATTAGATGTCTGTCGTATATTTATTTAAATATCTTTAATTCTGATTAGATATATATTAACATATGACCATTGTCCGTCATTCATTTTCGACAAACCTCTTTCAGTAATATCTCATTTTGAGATTGTTTTTTCGACATTTAATTTTTGATGGTTTTATTTCATTCCATTGCTTTTACTAAATATTAATGTCCCGAAAATTTAAAAAACCTAGACAACAAATTCTAACTTTACATGATTTGCACCTAAAATGTTCATCAAGTAATATTGCTAATTAATTAATAAACAGTGATTGTCCACCACCTCAAAAAAAAATTAATCATTCTTTTTTTTTTTTGAAAAAAGTTTTTGACTTTTTCGGGACACAGAAAAAAAAAACTTCTCTATCATGCGAACCCATATATCTCCTTTATAATAAAGACTGGAGAGCTGAAAATATAGGGTAATATTCATCTAGTTACAAGGGATCAAACCTCCATTTTTGAGCATTTATAAATTTGTAAGACTGAACAACGAGCAACTTTTCTAAGAACGACCAAGACTTTTGAATTATCCTATATCACACTTGAAAATTTATTTCAGAAACAATCACCCTTCTTTTAATTAAAAAATGGATTTTAGTAACATGAACTTTTATTAAAACTATGGTGTTAATAACATCAGATTTTATATTTAATTTTCACTGGAATTTTATTGATCGTATTTAAACTAACAACTAATTTTTAAAAAAAGTAATAAATAAATGACGTTGGATATTATTATTAACTATTCAATGATGTTTATGTTCTTTATATACAAAATTTGTTTAGAGTAGAAAACTAAAAATCTATTAATGCAATCCCTGATGGATTAAACTCTAAGCTAAAATAAAGTTATTATTTGCATTCTCACAATCTGTGATGAGTCATCAAAATGAGAGTCCAAATTTCTACCTTTATACTTCAACATTCCTTTTAAATCGTGTTTCACAAAAGAGAATTATTCAACTTGTTTCATTGTTTTATTAATAAAATATTTTGATGTTTAAGAGAAGAATTACGCTTCATCGATAAATATTTTTGACAAAATTAACACTTTTTTCTTCTATTTTCAGTGGATTTTAGAAAGTTCTTTTTTTACCTATAAGGAATTAATAGAAATATGAAAAGAAAATTTTTCAAAATATTTTCTGCGAATTTTTAAAACTTAATCTATATTTGATCTATCTTGATTAGATAATTTTAAATAATTTTTTCATCAATCTAATAATATAATCTAATTATTTCTTTTTAAATTAAAATTATTAAAATGTGTCTTTAATATTTTTTTAACAATAGAAACTCGATCTCTGTTTCTATTCGATTTTTTTCTGTTCAAGCATTAAAATAAAATAATATTTGAATTCATTTTTAGAAAAGTTATTGTTAGTATTATTTTTAACTAATAAGTGAGCTACCCGACCCATGAGCCTCTGAAGTCGAGCTATGATCGTTTTACTGAATTTGCGATCCATATTCTGGTGTTTACTGCAAAATCAAATAACAAAATTTCGATCTGAAATTTCTTTCACAGATAGATTCAATGACTCTGAGAATATTCTAAAAATCTCACCTGAAAAAAATGTTCGTTTGTCGAGATATTGAATTTTCAAATAAACTCGATTTTATCATATGTCTGTGGTAGGCGACCATTTGTCAGAAATATAATATCACGACAAAGGAACATTGTTTTCGGCTGATAATTTCCGGATATTTGAAGAATCATTAGATTTATTTGTGAGTGAAATTGCAGGTCGCAATTCTATTATTTGATTTTTGCAGTAACTACAGGAAAACGGATTGAAACTTTACATATGTTTTTATTCTCTTTTATATTGTTTTTCTTAGTAAAATGGATCAAGAAGGCAATCAAATTCCAATTCAAAGCATCTCTCACGTAGTCATATCTGCAGTAGGTGACATTATGTCAGATGCTTTCGGTGTGGCTCAAGATAATATAGAACGTATCGCTATTGACCAACGTGGTTCTATTGGATCATTCTATGATAGATATGAAGATAATATCAAGGGAAAATTAGGTGAAAAGGTCAAAACTAATTTCCATAAAATAAATCAACCAATGATATGCATGTTAACCCATGGGCACGCACCTGAGTGTGAAAATTTACTTAAACTTGTTGGTATTAATCATCAGCTACGGCTAAGTATATCATTAGAAATGACCCGTGCAACTGGAATAGCTTCGCTCATTAATTATTCTCAACCTATTGATGAACACACTCGGCTTTTTTATATTTATCAAGAATCAAATAGAGAATTAACTAAGGATCATTTACGTCATTTAAAAAACCCGGTAAGATCAACAAACTTTGTATCTTTTGCAACCCATATCGTAACTGAAATCATATGGGGTTTTCATATTCTTGTTATTCTACAATTACCTGCTAACCAAGCAAAACAAATTGATGTCGAGTTGAAGAAACTACTAGAAAGTATAATACATAAGAAATATATGGTACAAATAAACTCACAACAAAGAACTCTACTTGATCAAATCGTCACAACTACAATCTATTCAAATATAGATGTTTTAACTAAATTGAAAAAGCTGGAATATGTTTATCAGACAATAAGAGGTTTGCAAAACAATTATGAACTACACGAACGATTAAAATATATTCTTACTCCCATTGAATGGCTCTATGGTTATTACACTCCAAATTTGTCAAAATTTTATTTAAGTGAAACAGAAGAGATCAACATTCTTGAATATTACTTAATCCAACAAGCATCTGAATTAAAAGTATTAAATATTCGTGTCAATCATGATCTATTTGAATTATTACAAGGTATATATAAAATACAATTCAAAAAAATTCAAGACAAACTTACACAATTACAAGTTTTACATATGAAAGATATTGAACGACTTCATAATGTAGTTTTGAACATTCGAAAAGGAGTAATACTTGAAAGTTCAATAAAGAAAGAAGTGAGTTTGGATTCGCCAAAAGAAATTCAACAGTTGAATACAAATATTATTATCGATATAGAACACTTGGAATCAAAAATGAAATTAATTAAAAAACTAAAAGATGCGGGATTCGAGTACTGCGATGTTGAAGAGCTAGGTATTCAAGATGGATTAACAACAGCCAAAATCAATGATGTACTTTTTGGTACTGAATCCAACAAAGTTATATTTTTTTCAAATGATACATTAAAAAACAATGATCAAGTAGGTTGGACTGAATTCTATTCTCAAATGTTGGCGGAGAAAGAAAAGAATCGTCAACTTCATCTTGTCTATGCTGATTTCACTTATTCAACATATAAACTGGAAAAAATGGCAATAAATTCATCAGAAGATATGAAAGCATATCAAAATTCTCCAAATTCTCAATCATCTAAAAGTGAAACAAAAAGGAAAGCTCCTCTGCCACCATCACCATCAGTACAAACACCATTACCAACTAATGAATTTATTAATATTCTTCTTCTTGGAGAATCCGGTGTTGGTAAATCAACATTTATTAATGCTTTTGCTAATTATCTTAATTTTCAAAATCTTGACGATGCTGAAAAAGGAGAACCAATTGTTATCATACCTGTTTCATTTATGATGACAATCAATGATAATTTCGATGAAAAACTAATCAAATTTGGTGAAATTGATTCAAATGAAAATCATAATAATTCAGGTCAATCAGTAACTCAACAATGCAAATCTTATGTTTTTAAAATTTCGAATGGAAAAAAATTACGTATTATTGATACACCTGGTTTTGGAGATACACGTGGTTTTGATCAAGATAATCTTAATATGGAAGAAATATTTTCTTTTCTTCATAATATAAATTATATAAATGGCATTTGTTTCTTATTTAAACCTGAAATTGTACAATTAAATTCTTATTTGAAATCTTGTTGTACTCAATTATTTGATTATTTTGGTCAAAATATTAGTGACTTTTTTATCTTTTGTTTTACTAATGCTCGATCAACATTCTTTGCTCCAGGTAATACACGACCATTGTTAACAACATTCTTTCAATCATTTCTTGAAAAGAAGATTCCATTTCAGAGAAAGAATACATTTTGTTTTGATAGTGAAGCATTTCGATATTTGGTTGCAATAAAAGATTCAATGAATTTTGATCCAAATGAAAGAAATGAATTTGAACAAAGTTGGACAAGATCAGTTGCTGAATCGGAACGTTTTCGTGATTTTCTTTGTACTCAACATGAATATCGTAAAAATCATGAATGGCAATCAATTAAAGATGTTCAATTTCAAATTAATTTCATGATTCGTCCAATGTTAGAAACTATGCGAAATCTTCTTCGAAATATTATTTTATTTGATCAGGATTTATCAATTAAACTTTCTGCAACACATGCAAGTCCATCATCAATGCTATGCTATAAATGCCATCGAAATTCTGAGAAGTTCAATCAATTTTGGATTATACAAGATTATTTACATAATTCATTAAATTCGGTTAGTCTTATTTTGTTTTGTCATTGAAACATTCAATCGTAAAAAAAATATCTTATTTATTTATAGAATTTTTGGTATATTTACAACAAAATGAATGAGTTTTAATAGAACATTTTTGAATTGACAATATTGTCTTTTGTAGATTCTATTATAAAACAGAATTAGACGATACTAAAAATTAGCATATAGTAAAAATAAGATGCAAATAAATAGCTTATCTTATTTCATTTAAACAAATATACTCCGTATTAAATAGTATACAAGGGAGAATTTTTCACTAGAATATGTCTATTTACATTTTGAATCATTTATAGGTCAGGTTACAAGATATCGTCTTTTTGTTTATCTATTCAGAACATCACGAAGATTAAGTAAGAAGAATTGAATGAGAAATAAGTATAATAGAACTACTTAGGGGTACCCAAAAATAGTGGCGGAAGTACCTTATTATCGTATAGAAGGCTTTGGGAAATTTTCTATTTTTATGAAATGATAGAAAAAACAAAACTCTATTTTTCTGTACTATTTCATCCCTATTCATCTGGTACTATAATAATAAAATGTCGATAGA